ATTAAATAATATATATATGTATATATATATTATTATATATATATATATATATATATTTGTTACATATATATATATATACGTGTGTGTGTGTGTATGTGTGTGTGTCTGTGTGTGTACGTGTGCGTATGCTCTTGCGATTAAAAATATTACAGTCGGTGTATATTTCTGCCAACATACCGCTTTGTACTCATACTGAGCCTGACGGGCGCGCTCGTCAGCCATGGTGATCTACTTCCAACAGTGGACAGGCAGCCGATATTTGATATATACACTGCGGCGTTGGAGCCTACTCCTTTCACGCGTGCGTCGTAATTTGTGTATACCCGCGGCAAGTTGACACGTAAAATGAGGTTTGTCGTATACTTTAACTTAAACAAAGACTCATATAGTACCCGTATTGAGCCACAGGTATGTACAATATGGGGTGTATACAGTAGCGATAAATATTGCGTAGAGGCTTTCTCAAAATCCGCCAGAAGATTTCTCCGTGGCATCATCAAATTTGCCATCGGTCGTGTGCTAAGAGGTACCGAACCTTTCCATAAAATATATTTTGCCGGCTCGCGGAGTCGCGGTATATTTACATGTACACCGATTTTCTGATGAGAAGCCATTGAACATATTTTTTTATCGAGATATCATGCCACTACCATTCTCTTCCCTATTTCAACACGTATTGTTAAGGTTTCATGATTGTACATTCGTGTATAGTTGTTTACATGCAGATGCGATAGTATAGGGCCAGTTGGTACAATGTCAGACGGGCTGCTTGTCGCGTACCGCCAGCTGTTGTACGAGCTCTTCACGCACATCGAGCAGGGATTACAAGAGGATGTATTGATTGCCTGGAAGGTGCTGAAAGGTAAGCATAAAGATATACTTGTACTAAGCGAACTATGTATATTATATATATATACATTATATAATATCCAGCCTGATGCAAAGCGCTAGACATCCTAAGAAAAATTTAAGACATAGTGGACGAGAATTCCCGTACGTCTGCCCACGACTTATTCTCACGACTTGTGCTGTGTATCAATACAGGGTGTACATACTTTGTCCAAAATTTATATCGCGAGCTATATCCGAAAGTGGAACAGGCGATCAAGCAATTAACGGCCTCGAAGTGTCTGACAAAAAGATACATCCTGCTTTGGTACATGTTAGTACTCCACTGAAGATCACGATGCGATTTTTATTTCGCGTCTCTTTTCCTATTTATGTATATCCAGAGTTGCATGATCCTACAAAATGTTTAATCAGTCAGCCTTCCATTTGAGACTCCACACAGTCGCATATTTGTTTGTCATCCAGTTTCCCGATTCATACCTCACACTTTCTCCTGTGTGCTATCATCATTTACACACGGCGGGTTTACCGCCATTCATCACGTCAACCTATGTTTTTAATTCGCAGTAGCTGAGACGATAGTATGAACCTACATGTTTTCTGGTATATTAACGTGCGTGGTTGTTTCTCACATCTGATTGCCGTATTCACCCTCCTACAACAAAATATATACTCTTTCGCCATTGTTCGTTTCATGGAATCATTCAGAATTTTAGAAAACCCGATTCTCAACCGGTGGCTACATATATGACTAATTCCAATATAAATTATGTTCCCGTGTTGATCACTAGTAGGCAGCCATTGGCTTTGCTTTCAACTGAGGTGGATGTATTTGTACAGCCCGAGCTACCAAGCCATATTCAAATTTATATACTTTCCCGTTTTGGTCGCTTTCAGGCGGCCATTTGGCTTTACTTTTAACTGTGGTGGATATGTTTGTGGAGCCCGACAACTTTCTGCTGGCAGCGGATTTGATGCAGCTGGTAGTGCCTATAACGAATGCGAACGTGAACGCCGAAGTGTTTCGGTAAGCGAGCTCGTGACCATTGTAGTTGAAGTTTTTCGTTTGTTCACTTCACGTTTTGCGTGCGTGCAACATATTGCTTCCTCTTTTCAATCATGTCTACCTTCTAATTTTGCGTGACAATATGATATGTTGCATGTTTGTCCTCTGAAACGTGGATCCCCTCTAGTACATGTACATCACTACGCACCATGCCAAGTGTGGGAGTCAGGCGCTTGTACGGCTATGTTCAAGTGTGCGAATCTGGTTACGCTGTGTATGATGGTTTGGTAATACATTGGGATTGGTCATGGGTGCATCGCTCTGCATCAATTTGTCTTGTTTGATGTGAGCCGGTGCGCATAAATTTATGTAATACACAACATAGCAGGTGTGTTCCATTCTTTAGCGTCGTTATGTTTTAGGGTTTTAGCTGAATCGCACTTATTGCTATAGTAAAGACACGTACTGAGGTCGTATCTTTACACCGCCACGAGTCCTTGATTTCATGAGATTGTATATATATACATACATATATATTTCCATATATATATA